AGAAAGGCTTCTTGGAGAAGGTGGCATTTAAACTAAGATTTGAAGTATATTAGGAGTCAAAGACTAGAAAGAAAAGCCTTCTAAGCATGGAGGCTAGCCAGTGAAAATGCTAGTCAGAGGTTGGGGAGGAAGTGTCTTAGGCATGGAATTGTAGAGTAGATGGAGTAGAGTAAAGTGTAAGGAGACTGGAAAGGTATGAAGGGCTTTATAAACCAGAGGGTTTTATATTTGATCCCAGAGTTAACAGGAGCCACTGGAGTTCATTGAATTGGTGGGGATGGGAGTAGGGGGTGAGAATGTATGGCTTGGTCAGAGGTACATTTTAAGAAGATTGCTTCCCAAGTGTAGGCTGAATGGAGGATGGACTGAAGCCGGGAGACTTGAAGCAAGCGTGAGGGGATGAGGACCTGAACTCTCTACAGTGTGGTAGTGTCAGAGGAAAAAACAGGGGATGGTAGAAAGGTAAAATTGGGAGGCCTTGACAAAAGCGTGGATATGGTAGGGAGAGATAATGAGGAGTGCAGGATGACTGAGGGGATGGTAATGGCCTGGTCTGGGTACCATGAGCAGCTACCCCATTGTCCAGGGCTGAGAATGAGACTACAACCACTTTGGCCTCAGTGTGCTTGTAACAGAACTGGGTTCTTGAAAAGGAGCACTCCAAAATTTTGTGCAATAATTTTCTTCAGTTACAGATGAAACCTGGTGACATTAACCAGAATTCCCCAGTAGGTGGCAGGATTGTCCTCTGCATGTCTTTCAGATTCCCAGCATTTGGGAACTTCATTCTTTCGGGTAGGAGATGGGGTAGTCTGGAAGTTGAGATATTATGAGGACCCTCTTCCTATACTTCTCTTAGTTAGGAACACATGGGATTAGAGGACAGTCCCTATCCTATACTTCTCTCTGTCTTAAAGTTTACAAGGGGAAGGAACTAAATTTTCCCAATTGGGCTGAGTTAGGTAGCACAGGGTTGGAGACGAATGTTAATTTTAAAAGATTTTGCACCAAAAGTCTTTAGCACTTTCGATGTTCAGTGCATTATATTCATGATGTGTATTGGAGTAGGCTATTTAGGGATTTGTCTTTAAGACCTGGACATGTATGAGTCAATAGCAGATTAAATAGTTTCCTCCTAGCCTTGCTTTCATTGGAACTCATATATTAGAACCCAAGACTACAGAGTTCTTTCATTTTTTGAGATATTCCAATGTCCTGGCCCAGTCCCTGAAATGTTTCCACTGTCTAAATGCCACCCTCTGCTGAGAAAGGCTTGGGGGAGGAAGAGTGTGGAGCATGGGAATTCTAGCTGCTTAGGCCCTTAATACAGTCAGTCAAAACTGAATATAGAGACCCATCTCTGATTCCCCCCACTTCATCCCCCAAACATAGATTCACATACCCCTTTCTCCATCCACAATTTCATTCTCACTCTATATCACCATTGCCTGGGATTGTAGGTAGAGAAACTAAAGAAATAATCAGAGCTACTGGATGGAAAGAGAAAGAAAAAAGAAAGACCCATCCTTAAAGAAGTGGTTTAGAAACATAGCACGTTCCTGACAAACAAATCCCCTGATTTGAAACCTGTGAAGGTGCAATGGGAACAAAAGCTGTTTGATTTCAACCGGCTGTTGTGTATTTTATTCCTAGATCCTTGCTTGTGTACTGGGGGATCTTTCATATTAACCTCCCAGGCTAAAGCACAGGGCAGCTGTGGAGAAGAAGGAAGCAGCCCCATCCAGTCATTGAATGGGTGGTTTTTTTTTCTTTGTCCTCAGGGGAGGGAGGAGAGAGAAAGAGAGAGAGAATCTTTGTGAATGAGCAGATCATCCAGGAGAGCTCTGGTGTGAAATTGGGACCACAGCAGGGGGAGCCAAGCCAGACCTCCTAATGCTGCCCCTCCCCACCCCCCCCCCCCAAAATTCAGGCTTCCTGCAGCTATATTACAGACAACATAAATAGGAATCTCTCCTCTTCAGAGGAGGCTTTGAGAAGCAAGGTGTATCATAGCAATGCTCCCCAGAAATCATTTATTTAGAAAGCTGTGTATGGAAAAAAAAGAAAAAGAAAGCTATGTATGTAGTAAGAGAGCAGATCGGCTTCTGGCCCAGGGAACCTACTGTAAGATTGTTTGGAACAGGTATATACCCCAGCAGTAGTGTTGGGTGTCCTTTGAGGGGTTCCTCTGAGAAGGTAAGATGAACTTTTTGTCACAGAGACACAGACTGCTCCCAGGTGCCATCCCTGATCCAGTTTTCTGCCTCCTCAGTAGCCTTGCTGTTCACTTGCAATTTCTTTTATGATTAACCTTGTTCCCTTCTTTTCCATCTCCCTTCCTTTCTTCTTTCCTTTCTCTCTCTGTGTTCTCCCCACCCCTAACTGTATCCTTTTCTCTTCTATTCTCTGCATGCCTCTCTACTGGTCCACAGCCAGTCTCAGCTCTGCAGCCCTCTCCGCAGCCTGTTCAATACTCTCCAAGCTCCTGTCCCCAAGTCCTTCTGCCAGTCTCTCCGCCCCAGCAGTACAATATGGTATACCCCATTTCTTTTTCTCATCCCTACCTGTATGTGAACATGTCTGTGTTAGTGTACCCGATCCTGTATTTATGTATATATATTCATGTGTATATCTCCTTGATTAGCACAGGGTGTTTTCTGTCCATCAGGGTTGTTAAAACCTGTGTCCTCTTGAGGATTTGATTTGGGCCAGGCTGCATGCCAGTGGCTGCAGCCTCACTCTTCTGTTAGAAGACAGCTGAATCCTAGGACAGTGGGAAATGGGATTTGACCCCCTGAGCTGTATGAGAAAGGAAAGGGGGTCTGATTCTGGAACAGCCTC